GGGGAAATGTAGGTGCGTATAGGAGGGGATGGATATATAAGAGGGTAATCTTTGGTTTTGGTGATGAAACACGTAGCGGTAATAGTACAGAAGATGAGAAATGGGTACACGTATTTGTGAAGAAAGGGCTGGCATGCAAAGAGGAGTAGTGACATGTAGCAGCTGAACGCATCAGGTTGAGCCACTTATATTTTGGAACTTGTAAGCTCTTCACTATCCCTCATTTGACTATGGAACATTGTCATTTAGTTGGAAAGATGGCTTTGGTGAGCTAGCCTGGGAACGATAAAGATTAAAGAATTCTAGGGGAAATTTTTGACGTGTGATAATTGAATTTGATCCACTATATATAACATAAATTATTTGAGGTAAGTCGAGATGTCACCCCTAAATACTCTGACAACTAGTTTGGGCAGAGCCATGTGTAAGTGCGGACGACCATATAACTGGTTTGGAAGTGCAATTTGAAATCATATCGAGCTTTCAGTCAATGCTTTTGATAAATTTCAGTATTGCTTATTACAGGTTGAAATGTATGTATTTATATACATGTGATTATGCATAGCCTGCATTCTTTGAGCTTGAACATGAGTTGCATGTACATCCTGCAGTGAGCAGCTGCATCTCAATCAGCTTATATATATATGTACGGTTTTATTCTGTAAGGAGAGTGCTTGTGCTGTAAAGAGTTGAGACATTGGTGGTGAGTGAGTCAAAATACCACCATGGCACCATGGCTTCGCTGTTACTAAGAAAGAGATAAATCTGATCATTCATGGTGATTGAGAAAATCATGCATTCACAGTGACAAGTGCAAAAACCACAACATTTGAGCCGAACATCTATAAATATATTGTGATGTTACATTTATCATTTTGCAACTTGTCTTGCTATTCACCCATTCCACCTACTCTCTTACAGTCATCTAACAACAACGACGACGACCCAGTATAATCCCACAAGTGGGGTCTGGGGAGGGTAATATGTACGCAGACCTTACCCCTACCCCGAAGGGTAGAGAGGTTGTTTCCAGGAGACCCTCGGCTCAAAAAAACAATAGGAGATGCTATATTAGTACCATAAAAATGCGTAATAAAAATAACAACAATATATAAGAGATACGAAATATGAAATACAGGATACGAAATACGAAATACGAAATATATGGCTTGTATAGTACAACTAGAAGGTAAAGTCCTGCATCAATAGACGACCACTGACATTCCTAGTCTAACTCCTAACTAGATAGTCTCTCTCACTTGTGCTNCTCGTTGACGCCGCCTCTTGTCTCGTCAATTAGAATAATGTCATCAACAAATAGCATGCACCATGGAACCTCCCCTTGAATATGATGAGTCAGTGCATCCATCACCAGGGCAAATAGGAATGGGCTGAGCGCAGACCCTTGGTGCAATCCCGTAATAACTGGAAAGTGTTCAGTTATCTAACATGGCAGAGATTGGCAAGTGAGCTACTGAGCAACATGACAATGATATGGCACTGATGGGTGAGCTGAAAGTCGCAATATCAAAGGAGTCAATGGAGCGAACAAATGCTGCCCTTGCAGTTTCAGAGTCTAAAGGAGTTGAAAATTTCCACAAAATGGAACGATAGAAGAATACATGTCGAACATTTTCTACTAAACGAAGTGGAGAATCGGCAACGAGAAATGCAAAGTTCCACCATGTATTTGTGAAGATCTTACCAAAGATAATCAGTAAGGAGGAATTGCAGAATGCTTTCAGTTACTACTAGTGCAGTAGTTGACAAGTGACGGTTCGAAAATTAAAGTTTGTCGGGGTTGTCAACTTTGGAACTGCAGAAGACGCTGATAATATCGTGGAATCTTCAAATTTGTATAAATATGTACGTACTTAATATAAGATTTACTCTTGAAAAAAATCCTTGTAATAATATTACTTGTAAGAGAACTCAATCGTAATCAAAATAATAGACAAATATATTATGAGATCGAAATGATATCAACTCGTTGATTTATGTAAAGCCCATTGCTCAGTCTACAGAAGTCATTCAGTACACAAAATACATAGCCCATGATACTATTGCTTGTTGATCAGTCGCCTACATCTGTATCAAACTACGAGCGAGCTAGCACTTACCTCTTTGCGCTGATCCACAGTAGAAAGAAATCTAACATGTGCTGCACTAAACATTTTTCCAAATTACATAGATGCACCTTCCACTGAGGAAAGAAGCAAATTCAGAAGGTTTTATTACTAAAGTTACCTGCTCTTGTGCATGGATTTGCTGAAAGAACTGTTAAGAGAGGACCATGTCGCGCAACAGGAATTACGGTGCACTTTCTGGTTGGGAACAAAGCATGTGCAGAAGCTTTTTGTACTAAAATACATTTTCTTGCACATTGATTTGCTGAAAGAACTGAGTAAAGAACCATATCATGCAACAGGGATTTTGGGTTCGCCTAAATTTACAAAAGCCTGTGCTCGAGCCATGCGTCCCAGTGCCGCATCCCAAGAGACAAGGTGATTCATAAACACATTAACGTACTTTGCTTTATCATTCTGTGAAAAGAGAGAAAACAAAGACGGACACATTAGAAACAGTCTCCTTGTAGAAAGCAAAAGGGAAGAACTATCGGTTACCTTGTAATCCAGATAATAAGCATGCTGCAAAATGGGAAGAGCAAGTAAATGATGAATATCTTTTCTCAATATATAATATTAGCATGTGGAATGCAAACTCTAAAAGGTTTAAGATTTCTTTCAGAGACTGAGTGAAGGGTACATGGGAAAAGGAGGGCAAAATACTGTCTAAGAACTCACCTCCCACAAGTCCAAACCGATCAGGGGCTGCAGAATCAAAGAGATACCAAATGAACATGCAAGTACTTGTAATCAAGAAAATGTAATTTCTAAGGTAGTATTACAAGTTATTGAACATTAAGAAAAAGAATCCTCACGATGTCATTCCACACAAGAGGGTTGACAGCATTTGATGTCTTAACAATTGCAAGACGCTTCTCCTCTCTCTTCACTGAAATAATCAAACTGAAGGTGTTATCGAAGAACTTAAAGGAGATGCATGGACTGCTCAACTGTGGTTGAAAAAGGCTATAAAACTTTCCAACTGATCAATCAGGAGGTTTGTGCGATGAAAACTTTAGGGGTCTAGCAAAAGCATGAATATTTACAACAACAATATCAACAAACCCAGTGTAATCCCACAAGTGGGGTCTGGGAGAATAGTGTGTACGCGGGCCTTACCCCTACCTTGTGAAGGTAGAGAGGCGGTTTCCGATAGACTTTCGGCTTAAGAAGCGGAAGCAACCAAGAATAACAACACAAGAAAAACAAAGACAAAAATACTATGTGTAATAACAAAGATCTAAAAATAAGAAATACAAGAATACTACTAACAATACTGGTAAGAATGACACAATATGGAACAACAAAGATCTAGGAACACAAAAATGTAAGAATAATACTAATACTACTGGTACGATTAGGAGAACTCTCGACTACCTATCAACCTACAATCCTAATTCTTGACCTCCACATATTCTTATCGAGGGTCATGTCCTCGGTAAGTTGAAACGTTGTCATGTCCTGTCTAATCACCTCTCCCCAATACTTTTTTGGCCAACCTTTACCCATGGTCAACCTCTCACATCTCCTAACCGGGACATCGATGTATCTCCTTATCACGTGCTCGAACCATCTCAACCTCGATTCCCACAATTTGTCTTCCACGGGGGTCACTCCCACCTTGTCCCTGATAACTTCATTCCTAATCTTATCTTTCCTGGTATGTCCACACATCCATCTCAACATCCTCATTTCAGCTACTCTCATCTTCTGGACATGGGATTTCTTAACTGGCCAACACTCAGCACCATACAACAAAGTCGGTCTAACTACCACTCCGTAGAACTTGCTCGTAAGTCTTGGTGGCACATGAATATTTAAATGCAGAGAAAAATGACCATGTTTGAATGATAGTTGATGACAAGAAATTAGAGATTTTGCTAAACCTTTCATCTACTTAATCCTCATGATTATACAAAAATTGAGTCGACGGACAATACGAAGTCCAGAACTTCATTCTGAACTCAGTCCATACACACTATGTAGAGAGATTAAGGCCAAAATATATGTTTGATCCTTCTCATTTTTTAGCTGTCCAAAATATTTTAAAAAATGATGGGGAAGTGGAAGTTTAATATACGAGTTCAAAAAACAAAAAGCACGAGCTATCCTCATGACATAGTTTAGCTGTTCAAATGTCCACCAGCTGTACCTCAATTAAGTTAATTAGTGATTTGGTTTTGAGAAACACATATGCAAAGACAATTGAAACTATATTAAAAGAAGACTACAAGAGAATATAAATTCTAGTTCCCAAATACTAGAGCTTTCTCATTAGAATAAAGAGCAGCCAAAGAAGAAAGCAAACAAGCGTGACAGCCAAATCCATATGGAACATTAGCTATATTTTTTTGGGGCAACTTACAGACGAGCCAAATCCATCCAGAGCCAAATAACGCGAGAGCTGCTTCTGTAAACTTCTCTCTAAAGTTGGTAAATGAACCAAAATCCTTCTCAATCTGCTGAAGGAGTCCTAATTTAGGCATGTCACCGCCTCCCGGTTGCATGGACTCCCAGAAGAAATCATGATTCCACACCTGGAACGAATAAGATCCATAAGTATTGTCCTAGTAAAATTAGGCTCATAGAATATGGACGAATTAGGTGAAAGGGAAGCTGATATTTCTTCTTGATTGGAAAAATTCAAAAATTTAAAGACAGAAATTGAATAACAGAAAAATTGTTGAGGAAATCCTCACAGATATAATTTTGATAAAAATTCATAATCAAAAATTTAGTAGTATCAATTTCCAAGAGTATTTTCACTCAGAACAAAAGAAAACAACTCTTGCTTATACGACGTGTCTGCAAAACAAATACTCCCTTCGTTTCAACTTATGTCACACTTTCCTTATTAGTCTGTTTCAAAAACAAATAACACATTTTTATATTGGGAAACAATTTAACTTTAAATTTTTTATTTTACCCTTAATGAGAAGTTTTTATAGCAACATAAATGTTATGACCGCATAAAACTTTTACTCTTTAAGCTTTTACGACCACAAGTTTCAAAAGTCTCTTCTTCTTTTTTTTAAATTCCGTGGCAAATCAAGCTACGTCACATAAATTAGAACGGAGGTTAGTTTGTAGCATCTGATTACTCACTGTTGAATTTTGTGATAACTTCATCAAAAATTTTGAGCCGGTAGAGAAGGAATGCATTTATTTATTTATTTATTTCATGTCTGATATCCTCATGTTCGGGCCTAATCTATTTTTTGGGTCAAGCACATGGAATATTTCAAAGATGGTAGCAGTGAGACTCAAATACAAGACCTACCATCTTGGATTGTAGGACCACTCATCCAAAAGCTTAACCCATTAGAGAGGACCACATTAATTTATTTATATTATGTCTGCAATACTCAACACAGAATATCCTAATGACTATGTTTTTTATTACATTTTTCCATTTAAAAATAACTTTTGTAGTATAACACATCTGATGGAGTTAGATTATGGAGATCCATCAGGTCACTTTGGCCTATTCTAAAGAATCACACATCCATTAAAGTGCAAGATGGCAATAAAACCTAATTCTCGAAAGATAACTAGCTGGGAGATGGATGTTCAAAGGACCTCTTCCTGATATGTATGTTCTGGCACAACATCAACAGAACACAATAGCTGAAATATGGTCCCCCAAGGATGGACACTTGTTTTCAGAAGAAGTTTGAATGATTGGGAGGTGGCCAGAATGACTGACTTCTACAAACATCTGGAAAGATTCAAAGGTTTACAAAGTGGGATGGATACAATAAGGTAGCAGGGACATAACAGTGGCATTTATAAGGTGAATGCAGCATACAAGATCCTGAATCGAGCTAACCTGCAGATTAACAATTGGCCTTGGAAGCATATCTGGAAAATCAAGATTCCCTATAAGGCAGCATGCTTTTCCTGGTTACTAGAAAAGGAGGTTGTTCTGACACAAGATAATCTTGTAAAGAGAGGGATCTCATTGTGCTCAAGATGTCACTTATGTGGAGAGGATGTTGAGACAGTTAGCCATCTATTTTGCAATGACCAGCTATGGAAGACCTTTATTAATCTCAGAGGCATAGCTTGGACAATGCCTAGTAAGATTACTTAAGCTCTTTTCAGTTGGGATGAAACTGGAACTGGTGCAAGAGACAGAGATAGATGGAGAACTGTCCCAGCATGTATTTGGTGGACAATCTGGAAAGAAAGGAATTCCAGATGTTTTGAGGATAGTAGAAACTCAGTGCGGAAGATCAAGCTTAACTGTGTTTTGCTTTTTTGCTTTTGGTGTAAACAGATCTATACAGAAGATACTGTTTCAATTCTAGATGTCCTAGAATCTTGTTAGGCCTAGGCCTGAGGATCAGTTATTTCTTTTGTCTACTCGCTTGTAAATATGGTTTCAGTACAACCTATGTACTAATTTTATTATAATATACAATATGTTACCATCTCAAAAAAAAAAAAAATAACATATCTGAAATAAGAGTATAAGTCGCAACTTGCAGAAAATAGTAAGCATGGTGAGAGTGAGTGTAGGAGGGAAGAAGTTGAAACAGAGAGGAAGAGAACCATGTTAGACGCAGGGAAGATTGTTTTAGCTGCCTCGAGCTATTGGCTATAGTGTTTGAACTTAAATGTACAACAACAATCCAGTGGAATCCCACAAGTGGGGTCTAGGGAGGGTAGTGTGTAATGAAAATCTTGAAGTAAATTAGGATGTTGACCGAACAGGAGATCACAAATGAGAATGTAATTTATAAAGACCGCACATGATTTTATGGACTGAAAACTATATAAGCCACTGCATAAGTGATTATTATCACATAATCAACTAATATGTGTTGGGAAAGTAACACTTGTAGTTCTGCTCCTCTCAAAGGTTTTTTCAGATCTCTTCAGGTCTCTCTTCACCATGAAATACTTTTTGCTTTTATATGCATTTCATGTATCTAAATACTTAATTTCTTGGTTCCGCCAATTAACACTCGTACGTCTATAGCATCAGGAACTATAGATAGAGGATCTTTTTCATCACTCTGGCTCCTGTATATGAGGCTGAACATTCTAGCAAAAGGCAGATGGAGAACTCCCACCTAACAATAATATCTGGTTTCCTAGCAAGTGACTTGCTTAGGCCTTCCATTTAAAATATTGGAACAAAAGATGCTTAAGCTCACGATATTTGGTACACATAGTATAAAAAGAACCACCAATTATTTGTCAACGAAGGCATGATTCGAAATGGAAGATATGTTTTACCTTCCAGTGTAACTGTGCTAAATTTGTAAAAATCTTATAGAAGAAGGAAACCAATCTATGGCAAATGCAAGATAGCATGATAGAGTCTTGACGCCAATACCTGGGCAGCATCACTGAATTCAGGTAATGGATTTCCGTTGTTGTATGTCACTTTGATAAGTTCCTCCATAGTGCATCCATAAAGTATGTCATTCTTCTCAAGCTGTTTGTTAAGAGCTTCAACATAACTACGATGATGCTCTCCCCAATGTACCTCGAGCATCTTTTGGCTCATATATGGTTCTAGTGCATCCTACAAGGGCAGAAGGAAAAACGTAAATTAGTAGCCATTAGGACATTGTATATGTAAATTTGACATATATATATAGGTGTTATTTTTTGTTTACTCCCTTTTTTTTAACTTTTGGCATTATTATTGGAGTATTATTATTATTTATCATTATTATTATTATTCGATGACAGAGAAATCTGTCGAGGGAAAATAGTTAGGACCAAAGCAACCTTTGAAGCTCGGGAATAATGGGTTCATCCCTCTATCTTTCTCTGCTTAAATACCAGGTTTAGTTCACATGGCGTATTAACACCGAATATCAAAAGCCAAAAACATAAAACTTACAAGCTTATAAGGTGGGGTTTTAAGGCCATAATAAGCAAAAACTTTTGGTACTCCATGATGTCCATGAAGGCTTCTCTTCTGCCTCAAACCCTGCATTTGTAGCACAGCCATTTAACACTTACATACAGAGAATATATAAAAAGAGCACGACATAGAGTCCGAATTACGTACAACATTTGATAGCCTTGAGGGTATGTTCAGTTGGCTCGATAAATCAGTAGTCACCAACAGTTGTCTAGAACTTGAAGTACAAAGACTGTTACAAGAAGACCAACTCATTTTTTTTTACAATTTCCTTTCCCTCTGCTTATCTTATAGCTCAAGAAAACGTCACTGCAAACAACACATTAACATTATTGAATCCAGAGAGGAATAGGAGAAGCACTTAGCTTAGTACAGTGGTTTGTTATATTAGTCATTTCAACAAACAGGTTGTGCGCAAGTTTGGAGGTGCAAATAACTTACATGTGGGGAATGACTTCTCTATATAACTTCTTTTAGATTGTTGCCTCAATTATCAGCTTGCACTCTCTTTCGCTTCTTCTGTGCGTGTGGTGCTATCACTGTAAGCTTTTTTGGTTCTGTAATTCCACTTTGTGAGTTCCTTTTCCCGCTCAACTATAGACAAGACTGTAGAAAATAATGGAGTTTCAAGATTTTTTTTTTCTCTGTGACATCTGAGCGAATGAACATTATAAGCCCATACGTCATCTATTGGGCTACTTCATGTGGCCAATATGTATAAGCCCATATAAAACGGGTAGTAATAGGGAGAAATTCAAAAATAGCCAGATTTACAAGTGGTCATTCAAAAATAGCCACAGTTTCAAAAGTCATCGAAATTTAGTCATTTTTCATGTAAAGATAAATTTGAACAAAAACACTGTTCAAAATCCGGAAAATACTCCAGAATAATATACTGGAGTTCCAATTAAAGTGACATTAATCGAAATGGGATTATTTATTTATTCAGAGTCGCCACTTGGGATAATTGTTATGGTGTCCCAAGTCACCAATTTATTTTAAATCCCACATCGAGGAAATTAACTCTTATTTATGGTCCGCGAACACAGAAGACCGGGTAAGGAATTCTGTTAACCCGGGAGAAGGTGTGAGGCACTCCCCAGTTCCGTGGTTTTAGCACGGTCGCTCAACTATTAATAATTGGCCTAATTATCTGATTAATTACATGTTTTAAACCTATTGTGCATTTTTAACTTCCAACCGCTTTTAATTATTTATGGAGTTATTTCTGGAACAAGTCATGATTGTCATACACTTGTTTGTTTTTGTACACCTTGTGAATCGCATCACCGGAACCGTACCCACGATCTACAACATATTTATTTTATTATTGTTTGAAGTTATGGTCGGGTCACATGAAATGCGCACCCAAATTGGAGATTATATATCATGACTATGCCACGAGAACCGTACCTATAGTTACGATGGTTATCATTAACGTGCCTAAAGCAAACTACGGTGTTCATAATTTGAGATTGTTTATTTTTCTTTTCCTGTTTTCCTAAGGTTTTAGATCATGCGTGGAAGTCAAAAGTTATGGAATCATTATGATAAAGACACATTGATGCCAATCTATAAAACGGGTGTATGGGAATTTGAGAATACAGTTAACTTTTTCCATGTTAACTATGGGAGATATTGGGGAGGAAATGACTTTAATTCTACCTTTTCAACCTTGATTTCTTAATTCTTTTAGGGCCAACGATTGGACATGCAATGCTAGAGGTCACGTTTAATTAAGGAATTGCACTAAACTTCTATCAAGTTGCAGGTGAATGTCATTGGGTCTGCATTGAAGCACAGGCGCAAGCCTACGTGCGCCTACAGTAGAGGTGTACATGGACCGCGTTGGTTCGGTTTTTATCAAAACCAAACCAAACTAACTATATCGGTTTGGATTGGTCCGGTTTTGTCGGGTTTTCAGGTTTTTTTGTTACATGAATATTATTTCAATCTTACTTTGTTAAAATTATAGATAAAGCTTTGATAAGTGAATATATGTTTAGTAAATATGGAAAACATTGACAAACATATGATCTATTAAAATATTCTAATGGGAGAATTTTTTTAGTAACACATGATAGTTATTTTCTTAGTCGTCTAACAATAATTTTTCGTTAATTTATGCTTTCAAGGTTAATAAACGAGAGGATCCCACATATTTCTACATTTTCTAAAGAAAAATCACTATAGTCTTAAAAATATAAATAAAATTTATATATTTATATGTCAGTTTGGTTCGGATTTTTTTACTCAATACCAAACCAAGTCAAACCAAACTTAGTCGGGTTTTTTAATCGGTTTGGTTTGGTTTTTTGGTTTGGTGCAGTTTTCCGGTTCGGTTTGAACACCCCTAGCCTACAGCATCTCAAATCAACTTTGTGGGCTTTAAAATAATTTAGGCTACTGGAGCAAGCCCATGTCACCAAGACAAACCCAATTCAAGGTTTAAGAAACTATATTCAGCACATAATTGCGGGGATTCAACAATCAGTATTCATGAATTATAAGATTCTAATCTAAAAAAAAAAAACAATTTCATGCTTATATTACATGCTAGATAAAATGAGCTAGCTAAATTTTAGGGATTATACACAAATAGCAACCAGTCACATACTAATTTTTGCCAATCAAAAGTCCAGTTCATATTGGCTTTATTTCAAACATCCCATCCGAATTTATAGTTAAACAGTGAATGAGTATTTAATCAAGTATATAGATGAACAAAATTGAGGCAGATTTTATAATGCTATGATATATGTGTAGTGGTTATATGATTTGAGACTAAAATCAGTACCTGAATAGCAGAAAAATAGTCCACAACGAGCCAAGTAAAGATAGAGACGAAGATGAACAGAGCTTAACAAAGCAGCAACAGCGATTTCAGCAACAAACGGTCCTTTAATCCCAGAGATTGCCCAAAATATCGGCTAAGTGAAGCAACTTGTGAAATGTGGGAAGAAAAGAAATCAAGCTCTTCTCTTCAAATCCCAACGTCTAATTCTTGTTTCTTTTTTGTTTTTCTTTAGCTCTTTGCTTTTTTTCCTTTTTTTTAGAATTCCAGATCCTTCTTTGAGTCCAAAGAGAGGTGAGACGAAGAGGGGTGTGAGCAGACCGGAAGGAGTGATGGTCTCTTGGGTTGAGTGGGAAGTTGGGAAGAAGAAAGAGAGGGAACGACGCTCAGTTAGGGTTTTCTCATGGGGAATCTCATCTTCTGGAATGGGTGAGGCTGCTGGTTGTTGAGGTTGTTAGACAAGGTGGATAACGCTGCTACGTTTTTTTCGTTGTATCTCATTGTTTTCTAAGGGTTTGGGAATTCAAGTATTTTTCAATTTAATGTCAACTTGGACTAAAAAGATTTTTTTCCAAACTACATCTACTCCCTTATAAATATTCATATAAAAATTTGGTTATAAAATGAACTAATTTGACTTCGGTCAACGTTTTGGGTAAACGGAGCCGGACCCGTGATTTGACGGTCCCGGAGGGTCCGTAGGAAAATATGGGACTTGGGCATATGCCCGGAATCGAATTCCGAGGTCCCAAGCCCGAGAAATGAATTTTTTAAAGAAAATTATTTTCTGGAATTGTTTGAGAAAATTTGAATTGAAAATTGAGTAGAACATGTTAGTATCGGGCCCGTATTTTGGTTCCGACGCCCGGTACAGGTCTTATATGTGATTTAAGATGTTTCTGTGAAATTTGATGAAAAACGGATATCATTTGACGTGATTCGGACCTAAATTGCTAAAGTCGATAGTTGATGAAGTTTGAAAAAAATCCTTTGATTTTGAGGTTTAATTCGTTGTTATTAAGTTACTTTGGCGATTTGAAGCACAGATAAGTGCGTATGATGTTGTTGAGTTAGTACGTGTGTTTGGTTAGGAGCCCCGAGGGCTCGGGTGTGTTTCGGGAAGTTTTGAACTTGTGGAAAAGTTGCAGATTTCTGCTGTTAGTGCCCAGGGATTTAACCCTTCGCGTTTGTGTGGTCCCTCTCGCGAACGCGTAAGGCAAAAATCCCAGGTGCCCAAATTCTTCTTCGCGAACGCGAAGGTTGTGACGCGAACGCGAAGCTGAGGGGGGAGACCCTTCGCGAACGCGTAAGGTGTTGGGGAGGGGTCACCAAATTATTCATCGCGAACGCGGCCACTGGTACGCGAACGCGTAGGCTTGAGGAGCCAAAACTCCGCGAACGCGAGCCTTTTCACGCGATCGCGAAGGCCTAGCAGGTCTGACTCTTAGCGAACGCGATGAGCCTGTCGCGAACGCGTAGAGTAAATTCGCCCAGTTAATTTTTAAAATCCAGAACATTAGCCTTACGGGATTATTGCAAAATTTCATAAACCCCTTCTTCTCCAAAGCTCTTAGGCGATTTTTGAAGCCTTTCTTCACCGTAACCTTTTGGGTAAGTAATCATTAACTTGTTCTTCATTTTTCATTAACACCCACTAGATTTCTAGACCTAAAACATGTAATTAAGGGTAGAAATTAGGGATTTGGGTAAAATTAGGGTTTTTTGATTAATTGTGATTTAGACCTCGTTTTGGGGTTGTGAGCACGTGATTTTTGTTTCGCGCGACAATCGCTCCAAAAGAAATAAAAAATAATAA